TGAGGCATTTTGCAAAGTTTTAAAGAAGTGTCTGGTATAGCTGGCATTTGGGACATCTGTGTCTTCCTTTCTCTTCTAGGGACAGTGCTTTTCTTCTTTTGGGAAACTGCCCTTCTCCTACTCTGTAGGGAATCAATGATCATAATTTCTACAACCTCCTCACTTCCCCATGACCTATTCACATGGGTAGGCATGTTTCCAAAACGGGCCAACTGGTTTTCTTCAGGATTTGTCAAGTGTATTGTAGCTAGAGGCTGCACTTCCCCTGGGAAGGAAGCAGAGACTCTTTGAGCCTGTCATGGTTGACCAGCAAGGTTTCCTTTTGGCAAAGCTGACTGGCAATCATAAAGTAAGCCACATGAAAAGAAGCCCCAGTTACTCTTGTTATCTAGTTGCTTAGTCAAGTCCAACTCTTTTGCGACCCCATTCACTGCGGCCAACTGGGCTTCTCCGTCAATGGGATTTCCCAGGTAAGAATACTGGAGTGGGTTTCCTACTCCAGGGGATCTTCCTGACCCAGGGATCAAACCCATATCTCCTATACTGACAGGCAGATTCTTTAACCTGGTACTCCTACTATCCCAAATTTGATTATGGGATCAACACAATCTCCAGTTTTGGCTAAACTAGAGTTTGAACTTCACATTTATAACTAAAGTCAAATATAAGCAATGGCTCACCTAGAATTAGCTTATGCTGGTGTCTCCTCCTGCTCAATCTCTGCACATTAGCATCTGAGGCCCCGGTAAAGCATTTAAGTCTGATCACTGTATAGTTTACTGCCTTCTGTTTCAGTCCTAGACTGCATCGTTAACTTTGGTCAGTGTTTGGCAAATGATAGCATTTTGTATGGAGGGAAATCAATGGGAGAGTGTGGCCAGATCAGTCCTTTAGCATTTTCAGGGGGAAAAAAAAAACCCAAGCAGACCTTCCTAGAGCACATCTCTATTCTCACAGAACCACTTCAAGTAGTCAGTGGGAAGTCCATCAAAATCTCCTGCCCTATGTTAGGCAGCGTGTGTAGAAGCCACTTTGTAAATCTGAGATCTAGCCTGTTTCGTGTGTGCTTATGTGGCAAGGAAGGTGAAGATGAGGGAAGGAAGCTCCTAACTCAATTTTCTGCACTGAATTCCTTGGATCTAAGTAGACTGAGATACCAAACTGACTAGCTTCTTAAATAAATCAACATAGCTTAAATCCAGGGGAATGATATTTCTCTTTTTTGGTCATTCCCCCCCCCCCCCCCCCGCCCGCATCATTCTTTTCCTTCCATCTTTACTCCCATACTTCCTCTCTTCCAAATGGCAAAATGCACCATTTTCACATTACAGAAATATTTAAAATGCAAGAAAAAAAAGGAAATAAGAACTACCTGCAGTATCATCAACTGGAGATATTCCCTACTAATTTCTGGCATATATTCTTCCAACTCTTTTCCTATGCAACTGCTTTTAAACATGATTGAAATCATATGCATACTCAGCACTGTGTCCTTTTCATATTTTCTTTGAACAAATATAAACATTTTCTGTTGTTCATTTTTTTCTTTGGTATCATGGATAAAGATGTGGTGACCATTTTAGCATTCATTGAATCTTTGACAACATATTGTAGGGAACAGAGAGCTTGGCGAGCATATGTGTTGAAGGATTAACACCAAGGTAATCAATATTCTTGCCTGAAAGATCCCACGGACAGAGGAGCCTGGCGGCCCAAGGGGTCGCAAAGAGTCGGACAAGACTGAGTGACTTCACTTTCAACCAATAATCCAGGTACTTGACAAAACTGATAATCCATTTTTGTCTTCTTGGATGTAAAGTAGATTTTCAGGATGCATTAAAATTTGAGATGATCAGGTCAGAAATGACAGCAAGTGCATTTACCAAAGTCGAATCAGATGTGACCTGAAAAAATGATTGTTAGTTTTGGCCAGAAGTATAAAAATTAGTCATAACAGCTAGATGTCATCTTTCTTCACTCCCCAAGCTGAGAGTCCATCCTTGTTTCCAGCAAGAGCCAATGCCCATTCTTCTGCTAGACTTCACTTGTACAACCTAGAGGACATGCTTTGTCAAACAAAACAGAAGCAGTTTGGCCATGAGGTTGAAAATGCTAGTAGTATTTCTCACTGTTTTAGAGGAAATGCAAAAACAAACAATCCCCCTCCCCCAAACAAAGGAGTTGAAATTAAGACAGCATTGTTAAAGACTAGAATGCAATAAACTGGTGCCCCTTGGACACCAGTCACATGCAGCTTCTCTCTTCACCTGATCTACCAAAAGTCAAGTCTCAGTTCTGGTACACTGCACAAAAACACTTTGGTTCCTGCCTAAGTCATCTGATTATACCTGTAATTGGCATTTGGCAACCTTTTTTCTTAACTTCTGAAAACAAATCAGATCAGAAAACTATGGTATCTTTGCGAGATAGGTGTGGTGAAAACAAGAAAATACAAGTCAAATAGCATCTGTCATTCATTTTTAAAAGATTCAATTTGAAGCTAGCAGGAAGTATAAGATTACAGTGACAAATACTCCATTTAGCCTTAATGTTTTTCCAGGCATAAATGCTGTGAGGGTTTACATGAGGGGTGGTGGGGAGGCTGGAACAGAGGCTAGAGATAAGAGCTATAGTGTGAAATATATGTGTTTTCACTATATATTTTTGGGACTGGAACCTGAAAACAAAGGACTCCTCTCCCAGGATAGCATCCTTTCCACTTTGCTCCTAGAATTTACGTAGACAGTGCAGCACGGAGCAGGCACCTCCCCAAAGTTGTTGCCAAGAACTTTTTCCTATCTTCATTCCTGAGTAACGTCTGCCCCCAGCTCTTAGTGTCTCAGCTTATGAACTCTTTTCTTGACCAGGATTCAAGCACGGTTAGACTTATATGTGAGATCATTACAGACAGCTTTTATCTGATGGGATAATACCAAGTGATTGGGCATAGTTAAGAGAGACCACATCATCCCATTCAACTCAACACAGTGCCACGTACAATGAATGATGTCCACATGTGTGAGGGGTGGGGAGGTACTGGTGCTCCGGTCTATCCGGCAGTCTTCTATTTCTAGAGATGAAAAGATCCAGGCACTAGAGATTTCATAAGGATGGGAGCCTGACGTTTTTAAGAGCTGGCAGTGGGGACAGTCCAGTGCTTTATTATAATCTGTACTAGCTGCTCTTCAGTTCTGGTTCTTCAGCTGTTCTGACAGGATGAAAATTAAATAATTCAGAGATAGCTTTTCTCTTCAGAGCAGGATACTCCAACTATTCATATTACTTGGGAATGTTTCACATTTTTTAAAAGGAAATATACACATAAGTATTTTATTCACAATAAAAGTGGAAGTGATAAAGGAGGAAAAGATGAGGTAGTTGTCCTTGGAAGAGTGAAGTTGACAGTTTGGAGAAGGGGCTTCTCAGGCACTAGTAATGCTGAGTTTCTCAGAGTCCTAGGCTACAGGACGTGTTCAGCTGAAGAACATTCACTGAGTTGTATGCTTATGCTTTATGAAATTTTTGTGTATATATCTCAATACCATTAAAAAATGTAAACAGGCATTTTTCAAGAGGTAGGAAAACCAACACTGGTATGTTGGATATTCTATTTTCATGTTTCACTAGGAAAAATAAGGATTTTGGACCTCTTCTGTAAAATATTACTCAAGTAATGAACTGAACTAGCCAACAGGACAGGAAAAGAGAACAGAAAAGCCTCAAGAACTTAACTGCTCTCAGGGACTAGATCCCTGCTCCCAGAACTCCAGGTGAGTTAGAATTTTAGAAACAAGCTCACTGGATATGCAGAAACCTCTTATTTCTATTCAGAAATGCACTTCCAAAGCTGGACGGCTGGCACAATAAGCTTAGTGAATAATGGGTTCACAATTTCAATTTATTATCAAAATATTTCCATCATGACAAATCTGAAAAGACAGGAGATGCAGAGCTACATAAATGCAGTTGTGCCCTTTTATCATAGCCACCCTCAGAGATTTCATTTTGAAAATCCTGCTTATACAATACAACTCTTATGTTATCTTTAAACCACAACTCTTATGTACCTCTAGCCAACTGTCCAGGGGCAGTTTTTAACCCAAAGTTTGTGCTTAGAGCTTTTCATCAATATGATTTATAAGTTTAAAAAGTCTCAAATCTTTATCTGTACATCACTTTACAGACCTTGTTGGTTCATTAACTATTTATCTTGGTCTGAAGCTTCAATATTCAATGGCTACTTATAATAACAATTATTTAGTCATAAATGTAGTTATAATTAAATATAAAAATTATTATTTATACATTACTACAAATCTTTTAAAAAGACCAAGTTTTGAGAGAGAACAAGAAACTGCTTAGAAAATTGCAGGGAGCCTCAAGAATCTCATTATCAGTGAAAGCAGGTATAGCAAAAAACAGTTTTAGACATTCATTTTAGCCCTAACAGTGCTTAGAATACTCTCAGAATGAATAACTGATGACTGGTAAAATTAGATTAGAACTATGTTGAGTCCCAAGGCCCGAATATGCATAAGAATTCTTTGGAAGAGTTCTGAAGGAGTGTAAATGTTGCAAAAAAAGGTAAAAATAGGTACACAGGCTTCATGTTCTTAACTCTTACACTACTCCTGTACTTTTGGGGCCAAGTGAATTATTCTACCTCTTCTTTCTCCCTTTGATTAGAAATTCCAGTCCACCTCAAGAGACAACATCAAATTGGCAGATCATATGGAAAACTGAAATGAACGGTAATATTCTGTCTAGAGATTAAGCATAATTTACACAGTGAGAATGAGTGATTTGATAGACATTAGACCCCTCCTCCCTCCACACCTTTTCCAGAATAACCTAACTTCATTTTTATTGCCATGCTCTCACCCCTGTGAACTACCTCCATGTAATCAGTGACCTCTCTGACCCCTTCTCTCTTGGATAGAGTTCCCCATTTCTGTGATTTGGGCAAGTTTAGCCAAGGGCTGCACCACTTCTTCTGAAGATTACCAAACACGGCATTTCTTTTCTGGATTCATGTATGAATTCTTGCGACAATGGAAGGCTTCTGAAAACTGAGGAGAGTTCTGCAAAGTCCCAATAATCCTGGAAACAAACAAAAATCACCATCAGCATTCGATACTCACGTCCACACCATGTAAGAGCTCTACAGAATTTATGTAGATCAAGTGAATGGTTTGGAACTTTCAGTTTAAAAGGAAATTAAAACAAACAAAACAAAAAAACTGGTATAATGAGCCCACTCTTTTTCACTAACAGAATGTTTTTTTTTTTTTCATTTATTTTTATTAGTTGGAGGCTAATTACTTTACATCATTGCAGTGGTTTTTGTCATACATTGAAATGAATTAGCCATGGATTTACATGTGTTCCCCATCCCGTTCCCCCCTCCCACCTCCCTCTCCACCCGATCCCTCTGGGTCTTCCTAGTGCACCAGGCCCGAGCACTTGTCTCATGCACCCAACCTGGGTTGGTGATCTGTTTCACCCTAGATAATATATGTATTTCGATGCTGTTCTCTTGAAACATCCCACCCTCGCCTTCTCCCAGAGTCCACAAGTCTGTTCTATACATCGGAGTCTCTTTTTCTGTTTTGCATATAAGGTTATCGTTACCATCTTTCTAAATTCCATATATATGTGTTAGTATACTGTAATGGTCTTTATCTTTCTGGCTTACTTCGCTCTGTATAATGGGCTCCAGTTTCATCCATCTCATTAGAACTGATTCAAATGAATTCTTTTTAATGGCTGAGTAATATTCCATGGTGTATATGTACCACAGCTTCCTCATCCATTCATCTGCTGATGGGCATCTAGGTTGCTTCCATGTCCTGGCTATTATAAACAGTGCTGCGATGAACATTGGGGTGCACGTGTCTCTTTCAGATCTGGTTTCCTCGGTGTGTATGCCCAGAAGTGGGATTGCTGGGTCATATGGCAGTTCTATTTCCAGCTTTTTAAGAAATCTCCACACTGTTTTCCATAGTGGCTGTACTAATTTGCATTCCCACCAACAGTGTAAGAGGGTTCCCTTTTCTCCACACCCTCTCCAGCATTTATTGCTTGTAGACTTTTGGATAGCAGCCATCCTGACTGGTGTGTAATGGTACCTCATTGTGGTTTTGATTTGCATTTCTCTGATAATGAGTGATGTTGAGCATCTTTTCATGTGTTTGTTAGCCATCTGTATGTCTTCCTTGGAGAAATGTCTGTTTAAACAGAGAGATGGTAAACTACAGGGGTTAAGTGCACAGATTTTGAAGACAGGCCACATGCTCTAAATCCCAGTAATGAGCTGTTTTTATTTAGGCTGTCTGTGCCTCAGTTTCCTTTTCTATAAAATGCGTGTAATATTACCTGCATCTTAAGCTTGGTTTGGGGAGTTAATTTATAAATACTCTATATATGTGGTGGTAGGATAAATGAATAATTCAAACTTGGAAGTGCAGTTATTTTAAGAATCTGGTCAAGGAATAAAATCATGATGTCTTAAAAAGCAGAGACATTACTTTGTCAACAAAGGTCCATCTAGTCAAGGCTATGGTTTTTCCAGTAGCTGTGTTTAAATGTGAGAGTTGGACCATAAAGAAAGCTAATTGCTGAAGAAGTGATGCTTTTGAACTGCAGTGTTGGAGAAGACTCTTGAGAGTCCCTTGGACTGCAAGGAGATCCAACCAGTCCATCCTAAAGGAGATCAGTCCTGGGTGTTCATTGGAAGGACTGATGCTGAAGCTGAAACTCCAGTACTTTGGCCATCTGATGTGAAGAACTGACTCACTGGAAAAGACCCTGTTGTTGGGAAAGATTGAATGCAGGAGGGGAAGGGGACGACAGAGGATGAGATGGTTGGATGGCATCACTGACTCAACGGACATGAGTTTGAGTAAACTCTGGGAGTTGGCAATGGACAGGGAGGCCTGGCATGCTGCAGTCCATGGGGTCACAGAGTTGGACACGACTGAGTGACTGAACTGAACTGAACATATCTTGAAAGGTATCACAGTGTAACTTTATGATAGACTTTAAATAGGTGTCTGTTGATTTAATAGGGAAGATAACAATTATTTTCCTTTCCCCCTCAAAGAATACCATAGATATCAGAAACTGGATTTAGCCTGAGTAACTGGGAACGGTTGGCAAAATGCCAATTTCCTCTTATCTCTGAACCCCAATGGGTAAAAACAACACTGTCCAACCCACTATTGGTACCAAGCAGTATTTGAAGCGCACGGGTCAATGATGGAGAGGTGATGTTTTCCCATCAACCATGAACCAGCTCCTTCCCTTCTTTTTCCACTGGGACCATCCCACCTCAGCCACCTTGGGTTGGGGGCGTGGGGTTAGGAGGCAAGCAGACTGGAGTGGTCAGAAGACTATGAACATGTTCTAACTTGCTGAGATCTCCCTACACGGCAGATACATGAATCGCATTACTGTTGCTATTTAGTTCCTAAGTTGTGTCCGACTCTTTGAGACCTGTGGACTGTGGCTCATCAGGATCCTCTGTCCATGAGATTTCCCAGGCAAGAATACTGGAGTGGGCTGCCATTTCCTTTTTGAACTGTATACATCCCAGCATTTCTCTCCCCCTCTAACCCATTCTCCACACAGCAGTCAGAGTGATGTCGTAAGTCAGAAAGAGAAAAACAAAATTGTAGATTAATACATATATATATATATATAATATATATATATATATATAATATATATATATGGGGAATCTAGAAAAATGGTACAGATGAATCTATTTGCAAGGCAGAAATAGGCACACAGATGTAGAGAGCAAACCTATGGACACCAAGCAGGAAAAGGAGGGGTCAAATGAATGGGGAGACTAGGATTGACATATACACACGACTATGTATAAAACAGACGACTAATGAGAACCTAGCGTATGACACAGGGAGCTCTACTTAATGCTCTGTGGTGACCTAAATGGGGAGGAAATCCAAAAAAGAGGGGATATATGTATGACAGATTCACTTTGCTATACAGCAGAAAATAGCACAACATTGTAAAACAACTATGCCCCAGTAAAAAATTTAAAAGTATTTAAATCAGTAATTCTCTTATTTATAACCTTCTAGGGACTTGAAGAAAATCCAAACTCCTCTCCATCATCTCCAATGTCCTGATGGCTCCAGCCTACCTTCCAGTCTCCTCATGGTCTGTTTCCCCTATTCCTCATTAGGCTCAAACTACACGGATCCACCTTCCATTATGCAAACTGGCTAAGCTCTTGCCCTTGTCTGGCCCTACTGTGCCTGCCGACCCCACTCCCTGCAAAGTTACTCCCCACTGACCATGCGGCTAACTCCCCACTGACCATGCGGCTAACTCCTCAGCCCCTGCTTCAACACATCATCTTAGAGGCCTTCTTGGAATACTGTCCATGTGAGCCCCTCTCACTGTACCAGCCCCATCACAGCACTTGTCATGAAATGTGATGATTTTTTTCTCCTTCTTTCCTTCCTGACATACTCTCGACACTGTAATCTCAATGAGGACAACATATGGAGTATACTTTGCTCCCTGCTGCTCCACCACAGCTTAGCACAGTCCTCTTTTATTGCCGAACTCCAGAAATAATGAATGAGCCCATCACCTGGTCATGGTGATTACATGTAAAGAGTAACAGGACATTATGAAGAAAAAGAAAGCTCAGTGTTTTTGGTTTATTTGTAACAATGAACCAACAGGAGGGAAAGAAAGCATTTCCTCCCCCTATTTCATTCCACATCGAATTTGTAAAAGTCCTACTTCCTAATGTGTAACCCATCACCACATCAGTTATTTCTCAAATTTCCCATTCAGGGAGGATGTAAACTTTTTTGGTTGTATGTTTTTGAGGACTCCTAGAGCGATCTTGGGACTGCCCTGGAGGCTCAGACAGTAAAGAACCCACCTGCAATTCCAGAGATGCAGGAGACACAGGTTCGATCTCTGGGTTGGGAAGATCCCCTGTAGGAAGGCATGGCAACCCACTCCAGTATTCTTGCCTGGAGAATCCCATGGACAGAGGAACCTGGTGGGCTATAGCCCATGGGGCTGCAAAGGGTCGGACACGACTGAGCGACCTCTCATGCATGCACTCAGAGCAGTATTAAAGATCAAAAGGAATCTTCCCGGCATGAAGCGGGGTAGGGGAGAGGGGTAGAGCAGAAGAATTTACATCCATCTGTTCACTGGCTGAAGAGGGAAGTCTCCTCAAGCCTGAAGAGGGGCCCAGTAAAGGCGGGCTGTGTGAATGACAAGGACGTGTCTGCCTCTCTGAGCAGGGTCCAGAGAGGACCCTGGACAGGACGGTCCGTGGCTGTCAGTGAGACGTAACGTCAAGAGCAGTGGTTGCTGCCTAGCTTGACCACGACCAACGGGAGGAAATGGAGCCACTTGACTTCAGATAGGATGAGAGGGCTGCAAGGAGGCCAGCACCCATGGCAGCCCAGAGAAGGAGGTAATCCCTTGATTTCTAGGCTCATGAGATGCCTTTGGATTCCTGTATGACCCTAAGAAGGAGTACACTGAAAATGACTGAAACTGAATTCCTCACCTCCTGGCGTAGGGTAGAGTTTGAATTAATTTGATTAATAATAATAATAATAATGCCCGTGTGTCATTTCTTACACTTGAAAGTTCATGAACAAATTTACTTGATAACCTGGTCAAAGTGATCATACATATAATAGGAAGATTTCAGAAATGAGGGATTTATAGTAGTACTTAGTCTTTAAGGTTCTAGGCTCACAGACTCGGAGTTAGAGAAGGGCTTTGGTTCATTTAATCTGATCCTCTTCCTTCATTAGAAGCCCTAAGTGCTCGCTGAGGACAGTATGCTGGTGGCCTGACTATTCCTCTAACTGAGGAGCAAGTTCCTCATGGATGGGGTCATGAGCATTTGAGCATCACTGGCTGGAAGAGCTGCTCTCTTTGCTCTTATTTTATTAAAAGTTTTCCAAGGGATCATTATCTTAGATATCACCACATGGGGACAAGTACTTCTGTAAAAATGTCCAAACTCAAGACTTAATTCTACTTCTCTCTTAAAAATATTAAAGAAATTTAAAGGAATATACCTCAAAACA